TGATCCATCTTTCCTTACTTGAAAATTGACTAATTTATTATTCATTTATATATGGTGAAATAATATTGTTCTGGTTCTTATTTATTTAAGGTAAAAGGATACTGTCTTTCTAATTTTATTCTTATTTGTTTATATTTGGTAATAATATTTTTAATTGATCGATCATTTCTCTTTATTTGAAAAATTGATTGATTTCTTATTTATTTTTATGGTAAAATAATAATAATATTTTAAAATCTGATTTCGGCCCCTTTTTTATTTAAGAAAAATATTTTACTCTTCCTAATTTATTCTCGGTTATATTTGGTACAAATTTATTCTTTCTTAAAATCTGATTCCATGCTTTCTTATTTAAGAAACTAATATTAATTAATTCCTCCTTTTATTAATAGTTGGCTTGATTAATTCTTACTTGCTTATTTATGACATCTTTAATTATTTTCTTGTCATATTTATTTGCTCAGATATTTGGTAAAATAAATTTAGACAAAAATCTGATTTTTGACTCTTCTTTAAGGAAGAGGTATTTTTATTCCTAATTTATTCTTACTTGTTTATATTTGGTAATGATGTATTTTTAAAATTTTCTGATTTGACTCTACTTTAAAATAAGGAATATAGTTTATTATTTAATTCCTTAAAATATTATTTTCTTCATGCTCCCCCTCTTTGCTATATAAGTAGTCTCACATCTTGATGTTCACTCATTTTTCTCTCAAATTCTCATAACTCATTCATTCACTTTTTAATACAAGTTCTCTCATTGCTCATATTCATCATTTTTCCCCAAGTGCTACTTTATCATTAACTCTCAATTCTCATTCTTTCATTGCTCGCATACTTATAATACTAAAGTACACCGCTCACTACATAAAAGAGAAAGGACTTTATGGCGAACTTTTAAAAAGTGCTTTTGCTTGTGTTTGGATCATTTCTTGGAGTTTGTTTGCTTTCTTTGTCGAGCTACTAAATTGCTTAGATCTATTTACGTGTGTTAACTTTTGTTATTATTTAACATTATGCATGAGATCAAATGTGTATGAATAAGAAGGAAGCATCCATGTTAGTTCTTCCCTCCCTCTCTGTCTGTTTGACTTCATATATTTTGTTATTCGGTATTTGCTTGAACTCGTGTGGATGCACCTTCTGCCTGTACACACATATAATATATGTTAAAAGTTTTTTGCTACATTGTTCCTTGTAACAGGCGTTGAACTTAAAAGTTAAAGCTTTAGAAGAGTTTCCTAGAAGAAGGAAGATAGAATTAATTTCGATTCATTTAGGTTTTATATTTATATTGTATATTATCTCATTTTAACTCATTTTATCGTGGTTATGTTATAATTTGTATAACTCTAAAGCACTCTAATATATATGGGTATTTGGGGAACCGTCTAAGGGGAGGGGGATTTACGTGCTATTAGTTATATTGTCACAACTTCTTTGTACTTAGAAAGCATGCCTATAGGAGCGTGATTTAATTGTCAATCTTTCTTTGCTCTAAATCTAATTAAAAAATGACCTTATCGATTTTATGCCTTTCAAATGTTGTCCTAATTGTAAGCATGTTCTATGTTGGTCATCTATTCTAATGTTAATTAATTACGTATTAAATAAGTAAATAAATCTCTATAATTCCTTTTAGCATAAGGTGAATTATTGCAAGGTGTTTGTCTTTTACGTTATTTATCTAGTCGCATGTTTAATAAATTATGGCTCTTATGAAATATAAAATTTGTAAAAATAAATAAATAAATAAGTGTTAAGCTCAATAATGTGTCGCATACAAGAAATAGCACAATAAGCATGCTTAAGGTTTAAATTTTTACATATATATTTGGAGTTAGAAAATCATGTCTATCGGAATTATTTTAATGTTTTGACTTTTTAATCACCTAGAAATCATGTTAATAGGCTTGTAAATTTTTCAGCATATAAATAATTGAAATAATTGAAATGAAACTCAGTGTGCATATTTTCTGACACTTTCAAAATAAACAATTCCTATTGATTTATTGCATCTAATAAATTGTGTGCCACTTACATAAATTTCTGCATTAATAATAAAAATTTTATTGTTCTAAAAAATATTTTCTGCATCTAATAAATTGGCTGCCTAAAAAATATTTCTGCATTAATCACAAACTGATTTTTAATTGTTACACTATAATTTTTTTTTCTGCTTAAAAAATACATTTTCAGCATTAATAATCAATATATAAATATGTCACTGTTTTAAAAAATAATTTTCTGCATCAATAGTTAATCCATAAATATTTTAAAAACAATTTTCTGCATTAATAATAAATTTATCACAAAAAATATTTTTTTTGCGTTAGTAACAAATCTATTGTTGTCCTTAAAATAATTTTTGGCTTTAAACAAATAAAAGCTTTTGTTATAAATAATATTTTCTCCCTTAATAATTAATCCGACTACTATTTTATGTACATGTGTGATCACATCCTTTGCTACACTTGAAAATAAAAATAAAATCTATCATGTTTAATTGTTGTTCACTCTAAAATCAACTCAATGCTAAAATCTGCATTTTTGTAACAATTGTCAGCCACCTTTAAAAATTAATTAGATAATTATCTGCGTGCTTTTAAAAGTGTCTAGTGATAACTTTACCTATTTAATTCTTTTGTTGTTTTAATAATTGCTTGCTCGTATGCTCACACACTTCCCATGAAGACCTTACATAATTATATGTTGTTTTGCAAAGCATGTCTAATTAAATTTAGAGGCCAAATTGAGACTTATAATGCTAAAATGACCGTCTTGTTTGTCTGACTTGGTGTCTAGGAGGGCCTTATATTTTATTCTGTCTAAACCCATCCTTTAAGAGTTCAATGCCTCTTGGACAATAAAATTTGGACGACTAGGCACATTTTAGGTACGAAATGCATGTGGTGGTGGGGTAGGTGTAGTTGTCCCTACGGAGATGATGACATCGACTCAGGCTTGAAAGACAAATCTTGGTTTTGTCAGTCCCTATACGGCAGCCTATCGAAAAATAAAAGAAAATCGAGTGTTGATCCAAAAAGTCTGTTAGAGTCTCCTCTCCCTTTTACTCCTCTATTTGTTTGTTTAATTATATTTATGGAGCAGCTTAAAATAATAAATTTTGTTTGCTTATTTATTTGTCTCTTTTCTATTCTCTCGCTTATTTATTTATTAATTGCTTAGTATATATTTCATTGTTATCACTTAGACTTGCATGTTTAAATATTAATTAAAATAATAATATGAGTTATTAGTTCGATTTGTCATATCACATAGTCTCGCATGTTAAATTAAATAAAAATGAGCTTAATTGTTTATTTAATGCTATCACCTAGCCTTACATGTTTAAATTAATTAAAATAATTTAAAAAATAGTCTTTATTGTTTTATATTTATTATCACTTAGTGAGCATGCTAATTAATTAACTAATAAATGAAGTGACTTCATTTGCTTGTAACTCTCACATAGTTGCATGAGATATGGCTGGGACCCACATTTGTGGGCGTCGAGAGATGTCTAACACCTTCTCTCGAGGTAATTTGAACTCTTACCGTTTCTCTGGCTCGTTGATCTTAGCTAGACTTAGTTAGGTTAAATAGGTGCCCTAACGCACCTTAATTCGTTAGGTTGCGAGTCTTCAAAAGCTCAAATTCCAAAAGAGTTGTCAGGTCGTGCACAAAACCCGTTTTGATGAAAAATGAGGCGCGACACTGACTGAATGTGAAAGTTCAGTTGGAAGAAATATTGAGAATTATTAATCCGAAGAATGAAATAGATTTGGGAAAACTGCCAGTTTTAATAAGCTATGTTTGGAATAAAATATCGATCGTTATGTTTGTCCCTAGTCTTTAGAAAAAAGTTTAAATGTGGGTTGTTATGTTTTTAAAAGAAAATCTCAGTGTAGTAGTTCCTAATTTTTAGCTTAAGTTTTTCTGCAATATATTTATTTTATAAAAGGACTGCAGGCAACGCAAAAAGTAGTCAGAAAATTCCTTTTTCACATACTTCCTCTAATACTTCATCAATTCTGTGTTCTTTTTTTTTCTATTAGTTCTCGAACACGCTAATATATATATATATATATGTGAGTTATATTAAAATCATTATTATTTTTCCCTAATATGTAATTATTTAAATTACTTCTATTTAGAAAAATATATATTATGCATAAACTATTCAAGTATTATCAAACTCATCATGTATTAATAGAATTTTCGTCAATTAAAAATCACTTAAAAGTAAAGTAACACAAAAACAAAGAAATTATTTTTCATAACAATGCACAATAATGCATAAGACATAAAAATATGGGTTGTATACCAAGTCCATTTTCGGACAACCATATCTTAACTCCAAAATGAAAAAGAATAACTTAAAATCATAATCTAACATTAAAAAAGATCTAAATAAATATACAAGTCATATATTATATTGTTAAGATTAACAGTTGAAATGTATTTTAAGAAGACTTCTCTTTTAATTTCAAAAAAAAAGTTGTTTGTCCCAGTTAGTTTCTTGACGACATGTATTTTATGATTTTAGAGCATTTTTATTTCTTTTGAGGCTAATGCACAAGTCCCCGCTTAACCTATGATCAAAATATCACTGACTATACTAAGGTCCTATTGCCCTTATGAACTTATTTTATTAATAATTTTCTACCCCGTTTGAGCCTATATGGCATTATCTTGTGGGTCCAATGCTGGTTGACTTTTTTTTTCAAGCTACACTAGGCCGAAAAGGGATAGAAAATTACTTATAAAATAAGTTCAGGGGGTAATAGGACATAGTGTAGTATAACTGTGTCTCTGGAATTCCAGATATAGATTGAGGAGTTACTTGTACATTTTCTCTTTCTTTTTCTTCCTTCTCTCTCCTTCCCACAGTTTCTCCATCATATACCACTACCTTGCCACCAATGTATATTCAACTTTCTCCTTTCTTTTTCATTTCTTGATGTGAAAAATTAAAATAAATATATATCAACAAATAATTTAAGAAAGGACCAAAAAATAAAAACTAGAGCATATATCTTTTTCATGATTTCGATTTTTTTCACCTAATTTTTTTCATAGTTTCATTGCCGGAAAGTTTAGTAAATCCTTCAAATGTTGTTGGTCTATTTTCATCTCTCTTTATTTGGGTTAAATTTTTTCAGATTCAATTTTTGAAATACTAATTTTCTACTTCTCAAAACTTTGAACTTTTTCTATTTTGATGAACCCATTTAAAATAAATTCATAAATAGATCTGATTTTATCATGGATAAAAAATTTTGGGATACTTTGAAGATGATTGAAGAAAAAAAGAAGATAACTTGAAGGATTAAAGAGATGGTACTAGTATGCTAGTTAGATTATGGATTTTTGCTTATGATCCAAATTGGTTATATAGATTTGAAGAAAAAGATGATAATAGTGATAATCTTCTAAATTGAATAAGAAGGCATCAAAATAATAGTGGTTAGAGGAGATGTGGAAATGATGGGTGAGAAAAATAAAGGTGTTGTAGATTTTATTTTGTTTCCTTTTTCTTCTTTATTGAAAGGTAAATTCTAAAGCAATTAATTAGTCAAATAGTTTTAAAATGGATTTTTATTCATTATAATATATATATGTCACATATCATTATTTAATTTGTACTTTCACACGTCATCGCGCGAATATAATACACACATCCTATACATTTGACTGGTTGTCAAAAACGTGTCAATATGACACGACGTTCCCCTACTTAAGGTGTTTAAAATGAATAAGGCCAACGAGAGGTGTCCAAGTGAAAATTGATATCAACTTTAGGTGGCTACCGATGAATTAGGCTATTCACTTTTAATGCATATTACAAATTTAACATAATAGTGCTATAAATAGTAATAAATAAAAAGTATCACTAAAATTCGTAATTATTTATTAAAAAGCAGTTATCCAAGTAATTTTTCCATCCTTCTTTACCCATATCGAATATGAGCGATTTAAATTATTACCCATATTAAATTGACCCATTTTCAACCCGTCCAAATTTGAACCAACCCACCCATTTGCCACCACTCAAGTTGCAGTTTGTTCGGCTATATTAATATTAGTATTCATTCATTTGGATTCTGCACAATTTATCTCCTCTTTCTTATCAAAGCCAAGGAAGTGCGTTTTGATTTGCAATTTCTTATCATTTGAAAATTCATTATTTTTTGAGAGGGTGATGAGTATTTTCTTTCATTGGTGAATGTGGTTGCTAGCTACAGGGAAGTAGAAATGGCTTACAAGGTGGATCATGAATATGATTATTTATTCAAGATTGTTTTGATTGGAGATTCAGGTGTCGGAAAATCAAACATTCTCTCCAGATTTACGCGAAATGAATTCTGTTTGGAGTCTAAATCCACCATTGGTGTCGAATTTGCAACTAGGACCCTCCAGGTTTGTTTCTGGTTTCTCCAAATTCCACGCATTTCATGACAGAAATGTGTTAAACTAACTTTTTTTCTGTCTCAGAACTAGTAATAGACGATGAATTGATGTGGTGCAGGTAGAAGGAAAGACGGTAAAAGCACAAATATGGGACACAGCAGGGCAAGAAAGGTACAGAGCCATAACGAGTGCTTATTACAGAGGAGCCGTGGGAGCACTTTTGGTTTATGACATAACCAAGAGACAAACTTTTGAAAATGTGCACAGATGGCTGCGCGAGCTGAGGGACCATGCTGACTCAAACATTGTCATCATGATGGCTGGAAACAAGTCTGATTTGAACCATCTTCGAGCAATTCCAGATCATGATGCAAGACTCTTGGCTGAGAAAGAAGGGTTGTCATTTCTTGAAACCTCTGCATTAGAAGCTTTAAACGTTGAGAAGGCGTTTCAAACAATTTTGTTGGATATTTATCAGATAATCAGCAGAAAAGCTTTAGCAGCTCAAGAAGCTGGTGCTACTCCTGGTCAAGGAACTGTTATTAAGGTTGGAGACAATTCTGGCAATTCCAATACCAGACCATGTTGTTCCAACTAAAAAATGGGGGGCTACTTTATTTGTTCTTGTAATATGTAAGAGTAGATTTATATGTGTGAGTTATGGGGGTAAGTTTTGAATTGAGGAATGACAGATAGGAATCTTGTAATTAAACACAGGTATACTTTTTGACATTCTGATTAATTTGGAGAATACAAAGATTTGTTTCTCTAGTAGCTTTTTGACATTTTGCTAGACAAGCAATCAGTTTTTGAATCACATAACGTTTACTGATATCGACTGAAGCTAATCGACTGTTTTCTGTATTTCGATGTGATCACTGCTCCACAATACATTACCACATCTTATTGGCATCATGCAGAGAAGACAATTAAAAAGTGAGTCTTATGAATTTATCGTCTGGCTTGTTGCAAAGTAATAATTTTATTTTAAAACAATATTTGTAGGAAGTGGGAAAACACTGTTGGAGCATTCAAATTCAATTTTTGTTGCAGTTAAATGCTATACATGTTACATTTTCTTCTCATTCACATTGTGGCGTATAATCTTATCTTTGGGACTGAGTATTCACAGTCGACACCCATAAAAAAAAAGAGGAGTTAATCCATCTTTGCAAGATCAACTCATTTTCTCAGGGGAGCATTTCAACTCAATGATTTCTGGGTTGCCATACAGCACAAGCGACCTTTGACAAAATAACAATGACGGAATCATAATGGAAAACTTCCTGTCAGGCGAATGTGATCCAATGTACATCTTAAACCATACTTATTCACGGCTTCATTAGCAGATCTGAATCCCCCACCATATGCTGGAGAAGTATCATGGGCGATCTGGTGCATGAAAAACTCACCCAGCTTATTCTCTACTCCAGACTTAACACCTTTCTTGGTTGACGACATTGATGAGGATGAAGCAGTTGATGTTGATGGCATATCTCTGGATCCTGGCATTACCTCTGATTCCAGCCACATGTAGGAAAGCACTTGACAGATTCCTTCCTCTACCTCAAGGCTGAGATTACGGTATCCTGCAAATATCATAAAAGGTAACTTTTCTAAAGTAAATCAATTTAAACATATATTAGCTGCAGAGGTGAATATCATGGATCAATAGTTTGTGGAGTCAGAATGGATGTGATCTTATTTTATGTATTATACATTTAAATGTCTTTTGCACATAGTATGTATTTCGAGCTGGAAGCAACGGATTCAGTTGAACTCATAGAACTCATCCTAGATTGGCATCTGATTAACTGGTATCAAGCATCTTGAGAGTTTGAAAATGAACGTCTGTCTTTTTATCTTTTTTTCCGTGAAGATAATACATCCCTAAATTCTATTGCAGACCAACGTAGATGGAAGGATAGGATCAACTTACCTTTTAGACGTAACCATGCATGCATCAGTTCATGAGCAAGAATAGCACCAGTAAGTAATCTGCAGATAGAATAATATCGCAAGTTATCAGGCCTAGCACATAATCTTTTCTAGAGAGCATCTTAACTGGTAAAAGAGGTAACATATATGCCATTGCATATCATTGTCAGTAGGAAATGCCAAGAGTAACCAAAGAGTTATGTTAGAATAAAACAAACTGAAAGGAATTAGACAAAAAGAAGTTACCTTGGTAGACCAAACAATACTAGAATAGCTGTAACTTCACACTTTCTAGTTAGCTTCTGAGGGTGTGTTCTGATTCCCACTACTTCACGACCACCCATTCTCGGCCTCTTGAGTATCTGGAATAAGACACCATTGCTTGTGATGCATCACTAGGTTACCTAGATACTAACATTTTAAGCTAGTAAGAAACTGAAAATGATTTCAAGGGACTGAACAGCTTACACTGGTGACTGTCTGCTCTTCTGATAGGCATAAACCTCTGGTTTCGGGCATATGATGGAAACCCTAAAGTATTTTCCAGTCAGAAATTTCCCAGACTAAAGAACAAAAAAACTACAGATACAAAGGCATCCTTACATGCTTTTCCCCTTCAATGGCTTCATTAAGGGCTTGTCTTTCAACAAGAAGCATAGGAACTTGCTGTTCTATTTTCATGTTCATGCCTTCATAATAGTCTCTGATGGCATGGTAAAGTGGTTGGCAATCCCCAGTATCCATGATGGCAGATTCCATGCACTCTAAGCATAAGCTTCTACCATCCCCAAGTGATACATATCTTGCATTCCATGGCTTAAAGAATATAAGAACAATATCAGCATCAAGCATGTTAGTTGAATGATAGGTGATCCAACATGTTTAATTTTACAGATAATTATACCTCCAGACGTTCACAACTACAGCATCGTTTGGTGACATCGTGCTCATGTGAAGGACAATATTTCTGAGACCAAAACGGGTGGCACCTATACTCAATCAAGCCTGCTGCATTTGTTGGGATCTGAAAAGGAAATGGTAGATCATAAAATCAACTATGAGGGATTAAACAGTTAGAAATAATCATCGGTCTGCAAGTATATGTCAAATCTCATGATATACTTCCAAAACTTAAACTGCTTCATCAAAATATGCAATGGTGACTACACCATAAAATTAATAATATATGCCGGTTCCTAATCAGAACAAAAATTATTGTTTGAGCAATTTGAAAAAAATCCTAGAATATAATCTACAGAAGAACATGCTGTAAAAGCGTTCTCTCTAGGTTGGCGAACTAAACAAAATTGTATCAAAGATGAAAAAATGCAAAACAACATCAATGGATGAACTAATGAAGCTGTCATTCCATCTCGATCTGTGATACTGCAACAGCAAGTGATGATTTAGATGGATGACAATCAGCAGGCATGTGCCAGTATATGCATTAGTTTGTTTGCATACATGCACAACTATACTCTCTTAAGAATTTTGCATTTTCAACTGAAGAAAGAGCAAAAATTTAATGGCTCCTAACTGAACATGTAGGAGAAGCCTATATCTAAAGATGCAGTCGAGATTAACACAACTACATGATACATGTCCTTACAAATTGGAAGCAAACTTCACATTTGGGGTGAGTCATTTCCCTGAAGCATGATTTGTGATACGTATTGTTCCCTGACAAAGAAAACTTGATTCAACAAAGAAACCAAATGAGCTAAACATGAGGAAAGATATAAAACATTCAGTCTGTACAAGAATTGAGATTATAAATTTAATTTTCGTTTTTGGGGAGAGAGTTTGAGTTACGGCACAAGCTAGTTGTAGACCAAGGACAAGAATGTACCTCATGTTCAGTAATTGGGTAACCACAGGCACGACAAAGAAAGCACTCTGGATGAAAGAAAGTTCCCATGCACCCCAAGTAATTGCCAGAGCCAATATCCCCATGGCAGCCATTGCATATCCTGCAAATTATACATGTGCAAATAAGATTTCTTGTACACACGAAATACAGGTGCTCCGTGATGGTATATGTTAATCCCGAGACAAGTGGGAACAAGCAGCAGTTTCTACCAAAATGTAATAGATGTTCCTTCAAAACCAAAAAAAATCTACTCGAAGACACAAAATTTGTTTGAATGTGCATATACACGGACATCAAATCGTCTTAAATTCGAATTCGTTTATCCTCCAGTTATCCCCAAAGGTTACAGGGATGGTTTCATCTGTAATAGGCATTAGCATGCCACAGTTTCCATTTTCAGTGAACAGTCACAGAAAATTTTCTCAGTGACACGACTAAAATTTGATGCCCAAGAATTTACCACTCTAGAGGCAACCTTCTGTGAAATAAAAATCCTTAAATACTACGAAGAAGAACTTTTTCTTCTTTTCTTTGATCCCTTTTTTAATTCCATCAAGTAAAATTACAAAAGAAAGGACCCCATGCAGGACTTCTTTCTCTTTACCCCTTAATAATTATCAGTGGACAGAAAGTTAATTGAGCATTGTAAGACAGGATAAATTGCAATGCAGTAGAAGATAATTAGGCTAAATTTCGACTGACACAAAGCAAAAGAGGATATTTCAACAAAATCCAATTACCTATAACTTCTGGGATTATATTCCCAAGGGGCATATGAAGGAGCATACGGAGGAGGATATGGAGGATATGATGACGAACTAAGGTCGTGATCAAGTGATCTTTCGAGATCTTCATCATTGTCAGTCCTGCATTTGTATCCTGTGAAGCACAGAACTGTCAGTCTCAACCTCAAAAGAATGGAATTGGTAATATAGTGGTATACTAAGTCAATAGAGAACTGAACAATGTATATATAGATCTCTGGAGGACAGCAACAAGGAAATATTAATTTCATAGACTTGGAAAAATACGAAAGAAGATCTTTTAATTGCCACCTGGTCTTTTTAAATCTTCGGACAAAGAGACTGCAGTCGCATGGTCTAGCTCCTCTTTCTCTTTACTAGCCTTAGAGTGATCATCCTGATGAACTTTAAAATTGTGTTAAGAAACATTTCATCAGACGAGACATCAAATTCAGTTTTAGAAGATAATACAAGTTTTGTATTCCAGCTGAAACTATAGAAGTGGCTTTCTTTGTAACAAGCCAAGATCAATCTTGGTGATAAAAGAGAGGTTTTGAAAGAAACATTCACCACATTTCACATTGCAGGTCATTTATCCAGAATTGTATACACTGCTAGAAAAAGCTCTGAATCAAAATTAATGAAAAGTAAAAAGAATACCAATGTTCTGGCAGGAGCACGCCAAACCATATTCTCATCTCCTAGAAACTGGGGTTGCTGTCCACGTGGCAATCCCCTATTACCCTTGAAAATTTTAGTCAGCCATTTCATAAACCTTGACTTCCTCTCTGCGTATGAAGAAACAAAGTAACCTGCTTTAAACCCCACAATAATATCGTCATCATCAAAAAAGCTAATCTTTTTACGCAATTCAAGGGAAATACTCAAAAGGGTATACGTTAAACAGCGAAAAAAATCAAATCTTGGAACTTTTGAAACATTACCATATATGCAAGGCTGAGAAAACTGATTGACATTTGAAGAAGACATGGGAACAAATTGTGAGAGAGAAAGAGAATGGTAATGTAATGGAACGGAGAGAGGAAGAATGGCATCATTGGAAAAGGGTAAGTTATAAGAAAAAGCAGAGAATCTTTGAAAGGGAAAGAGATTCTTGGCTTGGGAGAAAAAAAAATGAAGGATGGGGATTGGGGGAAAAGTGGGGAGAAGAGAAATGGAGGAATCTGATCGTGATGGAAAGGGAAGGAGAAAGGCAAAGACAA